AGTGATTTGTTTTGTTTTCCAATGAACACGATTACAGGACGTTTTTTTAGTGCCTCTGAGACTCTTGGCTAGCGACATTCATGGCGAATAGTCGGGCAGAGAACACGCACTGCGTCAAGGACCACGCACCATGTTACACTTGAAATGAAACAGTGAAATGGCAAAGCTCACTTTGTACACAAACAAACAATGAACACGTGGCTACAAAGTAGCCGTCTGGCTGCACTGCCTTTTTTTATTTTTCTAGGCATCGACTGGGTGATGTTATGGCAGATATTACGAAGCCCATCTTGTCTGGAAAAATAACCATGCGTTGATAAAAATGGTCTCAGAAAATAATGTTTCGCGTTGACCAAATATAATCATGCAAAGTATAAATTCAAAACGTTTCAATACATTGGTGAGAGGTCGCATTTTACGTGAACAAGAACATGCACTAAGAAAAAAAAGCAAGCCAAAGTCGAAACGAGGTGCATCATGGACATGACACAACACACGCTGCAACAACGGAGTGATCAGAACTTCAAGTACTTCTTTGTGAAACTTACTGCGCGGCGATGCTGACATCAAGTGTGTGTTGACCGAAGTTTGACCTCAAGTCACGCACTGAACTGGCGCGTTACCTTAGCAACCTTTTTTCTTTCAAGCCCCGCGCGTCAATCTAGTAAAATTGTTATTATATCCGAAGGTACTGTAATTACGCAACTTGTATGCAACTCTGTACTGGCTTTGAATATATCAACGTCATTTACTTAGTGCACTGCTTTTCTAATTACGCAAATTTGTTTACAATATTGTACCGGCTCTGAATATTTCAACTTCGTAATGTATTGCTTTCATGATAATTAGTTTTTTTTTTTTAACCACGCGTTTGAATTACGTGCGGCATTGGGCAATGAACTCCAGAGTTCATGCACTGATATTTAAATTCGGGCCACCCAGCTTGAAAACATCTTTCTTGGATAAAAAATACGTCAGTACAAGATTATGTGTGCAAGGTTAGATTTATAGAACGTACACATGATCGCTGTGTTTTTTACCGAATCTGGTTAATGAAAATGTAACACGAAGTCAATCGCCCGACCAATCAAAAACGTCAATTTACGCACTATAGGGCGGTTCACTTAAATGACATACTAGTAATAGAATAATGGCGGACACATGGTCGAAGCAACCCTGTAGACCAGCGACGAAAAAGCCCTGTACTAAGCTTTTCATCACGGAAATTCGTAATCGATTTTTATCGACTAAGTAATAATCTTGCCCAACATCTGTAGTGTCGTGGGGGAATGATTTTTTTCAGGTCAAATCTTTACCGAACCTAAACTGCTTGCTAACTGAAAGGCTGTGCGGCTACACCAAGTACTGGTAACATAAAACTCAAACAAAATGTATATTTTTTAATGTCTTCATGCAATATATCTGAGTTATCCACTTTATTCTGGCTGCGAATTAATAGGATACAATTTAAACATGTTTTTGAACGCCACGAATTAAAAGGATACATTTAAAAATTAGCGTAAAATGGGTGCGCGAATTAATAGAGACCGCGAATTAATCAAGTTTTAACGGTAACACACTAATTTTTTATCCCAATTTTCAATAAATTGTCAGAGTAACAGTTGATGAGGAGTTGATTCATACCAAAATACTTTTTGAGTAAATGAAACAATCAACAAACCACATCCTAATCATATTACTGAAGACATCTCTGACTAATGTGAATTTTTTTATGATGAGCATTTTTATTAAACGGACTGGATTCTAGTTCACAGAGTTCAAAAAAAGTAAAAACAAGTGGTAGGCAATGTTATTTATTAGAACAGCAATAAACCAGCTATATTACCAGAGCAGAACTGAAAAAAGATTAATCAAACGTAAATTTGAACCACGATGTTATTATGAGTTGACCAGTGTTATTAGCGCAAGACATCCATGCACCTGTACAGATAAAGAAATAACCACGATTGCATAGCAAAGCAACCTCCACAGGAACATACCAATCCACACCACAGATGGTTGCCATGCCAATTCAAAGAAAATAGAAAATCCATAATAGAATCATACTGTAAGTGACATGATATCAAAAAACAGATTATAAGGCATTCCTTCCTATAACAATTTTTTTTAACTCCTCTGTAAGTTTAAGTCAAGGGAAAGTCTCAATATTTGTTAGCATTGAACATCTCATTTTTAAAGTTGCACTGTCTCCTATATAGAGCTGAAAACAGAAATGCATGCTGGGAATTCAGGTTGTTCAGATAAAAAATAATCCATCCAGTCATGAGAGACTGATGAACCACAAAACGTATTTTGAACTTTTAGTTCGTAATTTAAGTTTGGTTAACTTTCTAAATATAGCAGACAATATATGACTTTAAAATAATAGTAATGACTTTAGCAAAGTGTTGTGCCAGTGAATGCTGGCAAATGTCAAGCATATATTGCATAATTTTGATGTTAGTCAAACATATTGCAGCCTTAATTTCAAAGCACTCCGAGCGTCCCCAAAAATGGTGAATCGCTACGTAACTACGGAATCAGCACAGAATTCAATGTAAACAAACTGAATGTCAGATTAGATTAATGAATATTCATCACCAAACAAAAAATAGATTTTTATGTCCACAGTATGACGCACAAAATACTTTTGACACAGTCTATTATTTTAAAGTCTCATGGTCATAGTATAGTATAGTCTCATGTATAGCGTAATTATTGTATGCTTATCATGTACAAATGGCCTGAGATAAGATTTGATATACTGTGGAATACTTTATTTTCGCTGGAATTAATTTTCGCTGAAAAGCCTTTTTGGGCATTTTTTATGGAATTTATTTTCACTGATTTTTGATGAGTTTAATGTGAAATATAGGAAAAAAAGTATATTCGCTGGATTTTATCTTCACTGAATCGTACATTCAGCGAAAATAAAGAAAAGCGAAATATAAAGTATTCTACAATAGTTAAAGCATAGCTGATATTGCAATAAAAAAACATGCTTTCATTTAATGTCATATGACATAGCAATAAACAAACATGCATATATAATGAAGAAGACATGCATGGAAGTAAACAATAAAATAAATAATAATCTACATACTAGATGTTTGGAAGGAAGCGAGTGGATTGGATCAACTGTTACTCACCCGTAGACGACTTCATCATCAGATTCATTCAACATTGAGAACGCTGGATTGTCTTTGAAATGAGACTCTATTGGCAAAAAACAAACCTCAATCCTTAAAGTGGTGATATATTGCGGACCAAAATGAACACTTTTATAGATACTGTACGTGCAAGTAGCACAAAGTCGCTGTGGCCAAACTAGTTACAGGCCTACCATGTCGTCTATGCAGTTTGCTTTCTAGATTATATATGAAATACCGTACAATCTGTATTAGAAGCCGCATCCCTAATAGAAGTCGCACCCATTCTTTTTGAATAATCGAGAACTGAAAATTCATGACTTTTCATATGTGTACATGCTCTAATAGAAGCCACATTCCCTCTGTTGCTTTGTACCATTTTAATAGAAGCCACGGTTCCTAATACAGATGTTACAGTACATTTCAAACATCTGGTACATGTTTTTTGTTCTGCAGAATCCACTGTGTATGATTTCCAGAAAGACTATTCTTTGTAACTTCCACTCCCTAATCCTAATCCTAACCCAAACCCTTAACCCTCTAGCCTCCTAAATTTAAATGTATATGCCCCTCTAGATAATATGGGTGTCTGATGAAC